TCACAGCAAGGATCTGAAGATGTACACACAGCAATACTACAAGAGTTTATCTAACACTTCAAAGTTCAAATTATAAACCAGACTTGAGGGGTATCTCTGTAATCCCAGCACTTCGGAAGGCTGAGGCAGGAGAAGAGCAAGTTTGAGCCCAACCTGGGCAACTCTGTGACTCAGCAGGACTTTATCTGAAAATAAAAAATAAGGGCCAAGGATGTAACTCAGTACAAACAGTCAATGCCCAGTACCTTTTAAAAACTTTTTTTCAAGACGTGAAAGTAAATAATTTCAAGTAGAGAACCAGATGAATGAGAGTTTATCATAAATGGAAGGTGCTGAAAGTCTGCCCAGGCAGAAACAGACTCAAATGCAGAGGGCTTACATCTCAACACAGTGGATCATAAAGTAAAAAGAGCTGCTGTCCTACTTCAGGTGTTTTCAATATCATAAATGGGTATTGCTGCAGAAGCAAAGTTATTTTCAAAAACTAAAAAAAGTTTTATGTTTAAATATAAATACCCAGACTGCTTCATCACTAATGCAGAACCCAATTCATAGTATACAGCATTCTTCCCTGTAAAAGGATAAGAATCAACATAAATATTTGCAAATGAACATTTTCCTGATTTTTACAAGGTTCTCTTTTTGGTTTTTGAGACAGTGTCCTCGAGCTCCCTATGTCTCCCAGGCTGGCCTTGAACCCTCAGGGATCCCCTCTCAGCCTCCGGAGTGCTGGATTACAGGTGTGCGCCATCGAGCCCGTAATGGTTATTTTTGAATTAAAATCGGATTACATATATAGCAATATTTGTGGAAAAGAAGAAATATTTCTAATTCAAGAAAGTGGCTATAATAAACTCACACAAAAAGTGAGAAGCTGAATATACTTTAGGAGCCAAACAAAAACTATGTATGTCCTCTCTAAGGATCTACTGCAAATGTGATAGAACTGTTCTATGTAAATGGCAGCATCAACAAGCCTTGTGGTACAAGACTCACCAAACAGCCCCAAACAATGTCTCTGATTTTAATTTTTAGGAACTAGGATGGATGGGGTTGGACTGCATATCTCAACATTGCCCTCTAGTGGAAAAATTTTAGAATGGTTGTTGACAAAAGAAATTTCAAAGCGTAAAAATCAAGAAGAAAAACATTCGCAAAGCTCACACCCCTCAACCCTATAAAACCTGGGGATCAGATTTAAGGAGCAGGCTGAAAAAGGCCCAGAGATGGTGATGACTTAAAAGGGTGGCTCACTAAAAAATCAAGGGTTTCAGAAAGGGCAGCAGAAGATGACACAGGAAGACAACCTTTGGACATGAGAAAAAAAAAAGTATCCCCAACCTTTAGAAATCCAGAATGCAATCAGGGATATGAGAAAATTAGTAAATCTCTTGGAGATTTAAATATCCAGGACTAATTCTGAGTGAAGGGAGCACAAGCCCAGCAATGAATTGAGTCCCGGAGTAGTGTGAAGAGAAGATAAAACTCAGCAAAAGCTCAGCTGAGCCCAGGAGGATCACTAAGATCCAGTGGGGCACAGGGTCCCAGTTTTCCTGAGCTACAGATCCTCTGGGGCACCCCGAGACCCTCACAGCCCATCACAGCTCAACTATAGAATGACTTCTCTGATCATTAAGAAGAGGCAAACATCAATTTCCGGGACATGTTTCCTTAGTGAGCCCACAGTCCAACACGTTTGAAAGTGGCACATGATGATCACATAAAGGGAAGCCTGTAGTGGCCAGAACTTCTCAAATCACCTGGTCACAGCAGCCACTGTGGGGCTGCTGCTTCCTCTGAAACCACTGTAGTTTCTTTGAGCAGCTATGGTCAGTTACACGATGATCACAGAGACAGCACTCTGAGCTCAGCCACGGGCATGACGCAGACTAAGAAACACTCCCTGCTTTTGCGAAATCTAGTTGAGGAAGTCAGAGAAGAAACGTGATGCAACAGAAGAACAAAGGAAGTGTTACTTTGGTGCTGAGGAATCCATGTGCAACAGGGATGAGGAAGAGGGGTCACAAGACCAGAGTGGCCAAGAGGCCTGGAGCACAGGACAGGACAGAGGACTCGGGGGAGCAGGGACAGAGCACACATGCGGAGGCTGGGCTGTGGGGGTGGGGGACATGCAGGAGAAGGATCTATATCACCCCAAGAGGAAGAGAGGCTGGCTGGGCCATGGGGCCCGCTGTGGGAAGTTTCTGGAAGTCAAGCAGAGATGGCACTCTGCACTAGGTGCCTGGCACCAGGTCATGCATAGTGAAAGCGGGGTTTATGAAAATCTTGGCTCTTGGGCTGTGGCTTACCTCAGTGGCACAGTGTCTGCCTAGCACACCCGAGGCCCTGGGTTTTATCCACAGGGCTACAAAAAGTAAATACGCAAAAGGCTATTAATTCTGAAATTCTGTCCACTGGGTCAGAAAGAGTCCACCCTGTTGGGTTTCTAGCTAGCCCCTGCCCAACACTGGAGAAGGCAGGAAAAGATCGCTTATTCTTCTTCCTCCAAGGTCTTGCCAGCTACATCATGAGCACACGCACACCCGGGAAAGCTACTGTCTGCCTGCATTCTTCCACTGAGCTCACCAAAATCCATCAACGTCATCCCAAACTACTAGGTTTACATAAAAAATAGTTTGCTTATAATAAAAATAAAGCTCTAATAGTATGTAATTACCTTGGCAATTTTCAAACAGTTTTATGAACTCCATTATAGAAAACTTCAGGAAATTCTGCTAAGTCTTGGGCATTTCAAGGCCATACAGCACATCTTTAGCTTCTTCATGGCTTACTTGCCTCACCTGTTAAGGTCAAAACCACTAGCAAGAAAAGGGCCATGCAGCCAATAGGCATTGATGAGCTGCCCCTGCAGATATTAACTCAAATAAGTGGAGTCAAACAGTGTCCCCGAACGGAAGTCTCTGTTTGAGTAAGCAGCCATTCAATCCCTAAATACGTGAGCAAGTAGAAATGTCAGACAGTGGTGTAATTGGCACACCAGAAGAAAAACACAAGCACTTGAGCAAGATAAAAGCGGGTGCTGAGGGGTTTATCTTTTGAGTCTCAGTGGTTTTAATGTAGCGATGTCAGCCAGTCCCTATTAAAAACAATGGAAAGTGAAAGACACTGATTAGAATAAAAAGTGACAGGAGGGTGTGCTCAGCCACTTACATGTAATGCATATTTATATTTCCATCAGATGGACATATTTACTATAAACACTTGGAAAACCTTAGGAAAAGTCATTCACTTAAATGCCAGAAAAATAGTAAAAGATGCTAATTTGACCTTAGTAGAACACATCGGGTAGCACTGACACTACTCACCATGGCCGGAAACAGAATTTACCAAGATGATTAATTAGAGTTTACTGGATTAGGTCAAGAGTGTCTCATACAGACAGAAAAAAATAGGAAAGAAAAAACAGAGGAAAGAAATATGAAGTCTAGATTCGTTCACAGTCAACCTCTTTAACAGCTAACACAATTTAACTCCTTATTTTTGCCTCTCTAAATTTATCTAATGCTCGATGCCTGGAGAAAGAAATTGATAGATTGATCCTCGAAATTTCTATCTTTGTGGTTATGTAAAAAGAAATACACAACTAGCTGGAAAAGTTTATTAAAGAACAGACCAATGAATAATATAATAGCAATATAGCAAGTTTGCCTTTTTGGCTTAACAATAACCCAGTTTGTTATAATAATGACACTGATCTAACAAGGGTCAAGCTTAACCATTATGCAGTACTGTTACGAACTCTGTAATGGAGAGCATCAAGAATGCCTGCATACAAAGTCAGGGAATTTAGAGGTTGTGCCATCCACCTTCCAAAGCAAACTGAAAATCCCTTCTGAATTGGGATTATGGTCTCCATGGCGAACAGGACCATTTTCTACAAAAAACAATGGAACCAGCAACAGATTACCAGTGATAACAAGGATCAAATGGGACGCCTAGGTCTCACTTTTTAGCTTCTGTGGCCACCAAAGACTTAAAGGTGACAACGCTGTCACTCTGCCTTTTCAGTCCAAATAGCACTTTAGCTACAAATGAGCTAATTCATCTGTTTCCCACATATGAGGGGCCCTCTCTCACTGTCACCCTTAATTCTCAATAATCAAAAGCTCCATGGTATTGCTTCAAGCTATCTATAATGCACATGCACACATAAATCCACAACACAAATCCCTCAACATGACATGCTGCTCAACTCCATTGGACTCAGAGCACTCCCTAACAAATTCTTGCCACATGATTAGAAAATCATTCAAGTCTGCAGGAAATGTGGCAAGTACAAAGCAGTGACAGTCAATTAGGGATGAGAAAGGAGAGTGGGTCCCTGGCATTGCAGTCTTTAAAGCCAGAGCAGTAAGAATAAAATGGCCTCATTCACATAACGTAGTCTCATTAAAACAGACACTAATTCTATCTCATGGTAGCCATACCATGACACTGCTGATGTGCAAGAGAACTAGATGAGTAAGGGTGCAGGGACCAGTCTTGAAAATTAGAAAAATGCAGATAGAAATGTATGTAATCAAACCATTTTGTGGGCTTTCCCTCATCACGCAGGAAAAGAAAGTATATTCAACAGTTAAATCTTTCCCCTTTGACGCATAATATAGATGGAAATAACTTTGATGCTAGTATTTTTGTTAAGTTGTTTTCATGTTTCTTTTAATTTTGTTTTGTTTAATGAAATGGCAATAAATGGTCCAACAATTCGGGTCACCATTTACCATTCCTGCATGGCACCACTTTGAGATAAATAGTGCTTCTAGTTTACACAGTAGGATAAGAATTCTCAAAGTAGAGGCAGGTATAAAATACAGAAAGACAGCGTGCTCTTGTATCTTAGTTGTCACTGAAGGCAACTTTAAGTGTGCCCAAGTAAGCATCTGTCATTAGCTTCTTTAAAGGAAACATAAAACAGAGTTGGCATTAGGATAACATTACCTCAAGTGAGAAACTGGAATAAATGAGCGGCGTTGACTTACTTGTTAGTTTGTTGTGGCTGAGGACCAGCTGTGTGATGTGGGATAACGAGACTGTAAAGAGAAAGAAAAAAAGAAAATCACCTTCAGGAAATGCATCCAAGTTATACTTGTGCCCCCACCAGGTCAACTGTTAAATTATTTTCACAGGTTGAAGTGGTACTGCTCAAAAATAGAAATGAGGATTCACATAACACTGTTAAATGTTAAACCAAATGAAGAAAGGGCAATTAATGGTATAATTAGCACAGCAAGCTGGAGATAATGAGATTAATGTCTCTGGATCAAACATGACAAGGACCAGTTAGCTTTGCTTGGTGACTTGGTCTGCTTGCCTCACCCTGGACATCCAGCTCCACATGTGCACCAAGAGCCAACAACAGCTCCAGAGAAACACGAAAGCCTTACTGATGCTTCAAAAACCATCATATTGGAACAGACGCACCATCTCACATAAGGCCATCTCACTGTCCACCAGAAACTCTTCAATTCGCAATCAGATGATCGAGGTAAAGACCCTCCATCACTCCCCTTAAATATATTTTGGTTGACATTTCAGAGCACTGATTTGAAATGCAGATTACTTGCTGGTTTCAAACATTATTTTAGAAGTTTAATCTGCTCAACAAGATTAAATTTGCTAAAGAATGTTTTTTCTAACTATAAAGAAATAAAGCATACACAGATGCACAAAAAATAACAAGAGGGAGGGGGAAGTGACCTGCTTTCCACTTTGGTTTCTAAAACTTTACTGGGTGGTCAGCATTATATATACAGATATCTACATATTTATGTAAGAAACAGAGTTAGAAATTTCTCCAATATTCTTTCTATAAGAACTTTTTTTAATGCAGTAGAGATTTTTCCTTAGAGGTATAATAAGACAAAAAAAATGTCACTATTGTATCTCAGCATGTTTAAAAGAAAATAAGTATATATCTCTCCTGACCACAACTTTTGTCTTTTTTTTTTTTCTTACACCATCAGAAAGTTAAAGAAAAGTTCAAAATACAAGTATAAACATCTGTTTTTCTGGTTTGAATCTTGAATCAAGCTGCTGGTCTAGTGTCCTATAAACTTGGTAAGTAAAAACATGCTTTCACATTAACTGGAAGATAACCATCAAAGTAAAAGGTTATCCTGAGCATTGTGACCATCTAACCTTTGCCTCCTCCAAGAAGCAGCCCAATCGTTTACTTTTGTTATGAAAATGGATCCAGTTCAGAATCCATGCTGTGTAGATTCTGAATCTCCTCCAGTTTGGGAGCTTCCTTTCTTTGTCATTCTTGACACTGGCAACTAGAAAAACTGCAGGTCACATTATTTTGCATGATGTCCAAGGCTATGGATCAGAGGAGTGCCCCCTAAAGGTATGTAAGGGCTTAGGCCACAGGAAGTGGTAGTGGGAGCGCACTGTGGCCCTCCATGAGGCAGGGGTCCTCTAGGTCACTGTTGTACCCCAGTCTCTTCCAATCCCCTCACCACCTTTCTCTCTCCCTGCTTCCTACTTGAGATGGGAATTCTCGCTTCCTGTTACCATCATCCTGCCCTAAGGTACGCCTTTCATTAGAGACCTAAACTGATGCAGCCAAACTCAACCTTGTATTTAAACCTCCAGTGACGTAAGCCAAAATAAACCTTACTTTACTTCCAGCCACACTGCCGGTGTCAAGTATTCCACTATAGTCCTGCAGAGCAGTCGATATGGTCACTGCAGTAGATGGGCCACTGGTCAATTCCTGGTTAGGCTCTGGCTAGGCAGGTCTGGCAAGAGCACCGCACTCACACCGTGTTCTCACCGCCTCCTGTCCAGGGATGCCAGGCTTCAGTGTGTCCCATGCTGAGGGAGCTCCCTTTCATCATCAGGCTCCTCCACTGTCCCCTTTGTAAAAGTAAGTATCTTGAGAGGAAAAGGAAGAGTGCTTTGAAACTATGCCAACATCCTGCTCCTCACCAAACTCTGGATTTACTGATGTTTCATGGTCCCCACCTAAGGCACATTCACACCCTATGAGGCATTTGACAATATTTGGAGACATTTTCATTATACCACCAATGACCACTAGAAAAGCTCAACTCTTCTGTGTGGTTGCCCCAAAGGGCAGAAGCCAGGGATGCCAATGAGCCAGGACAAAGAATGATCCAATCTCCAACGACCCAGCATTCCTGCTGAGAAATCTGCACTGATGGACTTGTATTTAAATGGCTCTGAGGTTTCCATTCTGGTCACAGGATTGTAGCGTCTCATTATTTATGTTGATGCTCAAGTTGTCCCTCGCACGCCCAGGGGAGTCCATGCATACAAGATGCTCAGTCCTTCCAATCCACGTCCGTATGTCCCCGTCACTCTCTGAGCACATCCCTACTTTCTTCCCTTCCACACTCTACAATCAACAATTTCTCTACTAAATTCTGGTTCCTGAGTGTAAGAAATGGTATTTATTAGCCACAATCTAGGTCCAGATGTGCTCATTATTCTTGGGGTGAGGTCAACATTCTCAGCCCTGTCATAGTTGACAGAGCTAGAGAGCACGCGTGCAAGCACACACACATACACACACATTCTCTCTCTCTCTCTCTCTCTCTCTCTCTCACACACACACACACACACACACACACACATAACCTCCATGATTTTACTACTTAAATCATTAAAACTCATGGGTTCATCCCACCACATATAATTCCAATTCCAATACATGACTTGTTTATACCCTACACCTTTCCATAATTATAATTCTTTTCTGTAACGGAAAGAACTCTCATTTCTCTCCTCTTTGACCTATTTACAGACTGAACCAAAACTCCTCCACATACCTGCATGGGACACAGTTAGCTCACAGTGAGACACGCTTGTATCACAATTGTACAGCTCTGTGCTCTCTTTCAGGGGCACCTGATACTGATCTGGAGGCAGGAAGACCTTAGCTTAAAGCTGAATACCCCTTTGGTGGCGGGCAACTTAACTCAGCCGATGGCCAGTGATCTGTGAATGACATCTGGCTTGGGGTCCAGGTCACCCATAGGACCACATCAGCTGAGACATCGTGGGACACTGGTTTCTGTTTTGCTCGTCCAGAACCACAATTCCTCACAAATGGTTCTGCAGAGTGCATTCTAGACACGAAATGTGACCTGTGCAATGGGGAAATGACCAGGGGTACTGTGCCAACACCCTGGGCACCAGTGCTGGCTTGGGCTTGCTGTTTCCTGCCTGGACAGGTCCTGTGTCTTCATGAAGTCCTACTGTGAGTGGATTTAGGGGATCCTGCAGTCACCACTCTACCCTCTTAGCCCTTCCTGCCTGGATACTGACACCTGTCCCTGATCCCTTCTTTCGGGTCCCTCTGACTCAGTCATTACCACTCACAGGGACATTTTCCTGAGCCACCCCTGCTCTGACATGCACCCCACATCACTCCAAAGGTGACCCAAGGGGATGAGATAATTAGGGGAGAGAGAAGAAAGGGAGCAGAAAGAGCAAGTCCATTTCTTTCTGTGGTTGTTAAGAAAAACTCATGGGGATGGCTTCACACATGATAGTTAAAGACTTTAGATGTTACAGAAAATATCCTCTATTTTTATTAACTGAGAGCTAAGATTTTCTTGTCCGCTTGATAAAGCACTCCTCTATCCCTGAGGTTTACAGTTGAGTATGAAAAATACATCTCAAAAAGTTCCCTCACACCACACAAGATTAAAGAAACTCAGATCAATCAGTGAAGATTATATTCAGCTTCATGTGATAGTGACAACAAATATCCTGGATTACACAGAGCAGGGGCTTCTCTGTCCTGCATGCATACAGGTCAGAAGCTCCTGTGACCTGCTGCTCAGACATCCCCAATTCAATTTGTTCCCTGCATGCAACAAAGGTTTCTGTCTCCCAAAGTCACATGTGAGTGTGAGCCCTGAGCCACAAAGTAAGGGCACTGGGACGGAAGATTCTTTTGTGGTGACTGGGGGTAGTTAGGCCAGAGGGGTGCAGTCCTCTCAGACCAGATTTTTGCCCTTATAAGAAGAGATATGACTCAGATGATCTCTGTCTCTTGCTACCATGTAAGACTACACCAAAAAGGTGACCATCAGCAAACAAAAAGTTTTCCCCAGACACCGAATCTGTTAGCATGTAGCCTTGAACATTTCAGCTGTCTGAACGATAAGGAATAAGTTTCTGTTACTTAAGCACTTCAGTTTATGCTATTTTTGTTAGAGCAACTCAAACTAAGATATACCTCACAGGTCAAAACGACTGCTAGTGACAAGCCATGATGCCTACATCATCCTCCGGAGGAAAGAAATCTTCCTTATAGACACTTCCACAAAGATAGGCATGGTATTGTCACCAAAATCACTTAGTCACATTTGAGGAACCCAGGGATGTCTGCCTAAAGAGTGGCTAGGAAACACATTCTGTATTCTAGGTGACCATGGACCAGCTAAAACTTAGGGGGTTTGTTATCAAAGAAAGATGGGACAGACTGAAGCTACCAGCCAATTAGCAGTCTCTTCCACTGCCATGTGTAGGAATCAATTGATTACAAAAGAAAACTGATACTGCTCCCACTTCCTTCTGCCTTAATTTTTCCTAAGATATTCACAAGTAACTAATTAGAAACACTTTGCTCTCCTCAGAGACGAGCAGAGTTCATGGTGACAGTTTTAATTAGGGAAAGTTGGTTCTTTTCAATCATTCTGTTGCAGCTGGTCAACAAACAGCAAGAGAGAAACTGACAAAGCTGAAAGTGGGTTTTTCTGTGCGTGTGGATGTGTGTGGCTTCACCTGATCACACTAATAGAATGCATTCTTCTCCCTCACTATTGTTGTAGGCCACAAGCTAACACAGGTAAAAGGGAGAGAAATTAGAGCAGAAAAGAAAAAGTTAATAAAAGACCTTTGAAGAAAATACTTAGGGCAACAAAGGAAATCAGGCTGGGTCTGCAGGGTGGGCAGTTAAGTTGAACAGAATCAAGAGAAAGCCACAAAACCCAGCACAGGCACCTGCGAGGGGCTACTGGCACATTAATACACGCGGCCACTCCCTTCTACTTGG